TGTCTCCTGTGTGTCTCTCCTGTGTGTGTCTCTCCTGTGTGTGTCTCCTGACTGTCTCCTGTGTGTGTCTCCTGTGTGTGTCTCCTAACTGTGTCTCCTGTCTGTGTCTCCTAACTGTGTCTCCTGTCTGTGTCTCCTAACTGTGTCTCCTGTGTGTGTCTCCTGCGTGTGTCTCCTGTGTGTGTCTCCTGTGTGTGTCTCTCCTGTGTGTGTCTGTCTGTGTCTCCTGACTGTGTCTCCTGTGTGTGTCTCCTGCGTGTGTCTCCTGTGTGTGTCTGTCTGTGTCTCCTGTGTGTTGCCTGCGTGTGTCTCCTGTGTGTGTCTCCTGTGTGTGTCTCCTGACTGTGTCTCCTGTCTGTGTCTCCTAACTGTGTCTCCTGTCTGTGTCTCCTAACTGTGTCTCCTGTGTGTGTCTCCTGACTGTGTCTCCTGTCTGTGTCTCCTAACTGTGTCTCCTGTCTGTGTCTCCTAACTGTGTCTCCTGTGTGTGTCTCCTGTGTGTGTCTCCTGTGTGTGTCTGTCTGTGTCTCCTGTGTGTGTCTCCTGTGTGTGTCTCCTGTGTGTGTCTCTCCTGTGTGTGTCTGTCTGTGTCTCCTGACTGTGTCTCCTGTGTGTGTCTCCTGTGTGTGTCTCCTGCGTGTGTCTCCTGTGTGTGTCTGTCTGTGTCTCCTGTGTGTTGCCTGCGTGTGTCTCCTGTGTGTGTCTCCTGTGTGTGTCTCCTGTGTGTGTCTCCTGTGTGTGTGTGTGTGTGTGTCTCCTGTGTGTGTCTCCTGTGTGTGTCTCAGTGCCTGCGGGTGCTGCCCTGTCTGCACGAGTACCACAGAGAGTGTGTGGACCCCTGGCTGCTGCTGCACCACACCTGTCCTCTGTGCAAACGCAGCATCCTCGGTGAGTGACTACACACTGTCTGATGTTTCAGGGCGCAGGTTTTAAACTCCTACACTCAGCAGAGAACTGCGATGTCACTGAATAATTAGTAGCAAGTGCCCATGCTACTAATTATTACCACTTTTTAAGACATTCTATTCTATGGCAGTTTCATTAAAGCATTTTACTACAAACTATACAAATAACTTTGAACTTACTATACTATGGCCTTTATGGACTTTTTGTAGAATACTTCAATAACACTTCAATGTGACATGCTATACAATGACTTTATATGATATTGTTTTGGCATTCATTACATTTACATTTGTATTACTTTTTTAATGGCATACTATAGTTTTATTTTTTTTAAACGTTGTTTTTAATCTGATAATTATTATACTAATGTGCTTTTTCTGATATTTAAACCAAACCGTGATGTTGTTATTATATTCCAACATCATATACTAAGATTTTATTTTCTATGTACTACAGTATACTGTACATTTTTTTCCTGTTATTTTCAACATACTGGGACGTTTTTTACTAATATTCTGCCATTCCATTCTTATACCTACATGTTGGACAAAATGTTTTACTATGTGGTTTTTTGGGATATTTTCATCTTCATCCCACATACTATACTTTTAGTTTTGGTCTGGGATTGAACAACTGACCCTCCGTTTGATAGATTAAAACCCCTTAGCTATACTATGACGTACTGCACTGAGTGTTTTTGACATACTATAATAAAATCTGATGTATTGTTTCGACGCCTTTCCTCACTGAACCTCTTCAGGCAGCGTCCGCAGAGACAGTTAACGCCGCCTCTCTTCCAGCTCTGGGAACAAGGTCTCTTCCTCAGTGACACACAAGTAGCCGTTTTTTATCTCCAAACCTCGCCGCTTCCTCCTTCAAGCAATGGATTGTGGGACTAATAAAGACTAAACAGCAGTTAGCTGGCATCTGGACTGTGAAGGGGTCAGATTTGTATATCTGTCCTTAGCGTGGGTGCAGTCAGAAAGAGAAACAGACAGTAGTAGTGTTAACACAATAATATGAAGTACTGTTGTGTGTAAACAGTACGACTTCCTGGGATCATGTTACTGTATATTTGTGGAAATATCTGTTGTGTTATTTAAAGCAGTGCAGATATGACTAATGTGCTCAGTGACACACAAACCACTTCTGCTCTGTTCCTGCAAACGGCAACGAGACATCCGGTGATCTAAACCGGAGCGATTACTGTTCAGTAAATGCTTCATGTTTGAAGCAGGGACGAATCGATGGACTGTGTTAATGTTCACTTTAGGTCCAAATGATGTCAACAACCACCATATTAAATAAGAGTGTAAACTAGTGTCCACACTTTGCCTTTAAATGCGGAGGTTTTATAGTTTGAACAGATGTGGAAGAATGGGTTTGCACTTGTCCTTATCATGACTGAACTGCAGCAGAGTGACAGAGACCTCAAACACTTCTCCTTAATTATACTTGTGTTCGTTTTTAGTAACTATTAGTAATGAATAAAAAGGTTAATATTTTGTAGAGAATCAAAGCTAAGTTGGATTGTTTCCTCATTTTTAATGTTATTTATCAATTTGTTCCTTATCAGACAGTTAGTGTTAAGAAGTCTTAACAGTTTTGTTCTGCGGGTCAAACAGATTTCACTGTTTCATCTCATACATCATGAAAGAGGTTTCCTCTCGGTCAACGACACACATAATGTCATGTATTTGAATGTTTAACAAACCCAGCTACATTTGACTTTGATTAAGTCATCAACACATTGTACTGTGAAACAAAGTTAATGACTCCAACTCGAAGGATATCGAACACGTAGTCTTATATTTATTTTAGGTTCTTGGTTTTTCTAATTGACATGTGCTATGTTTTCCTTTTTTACAAAATGCCTGTACGGCACGTGCTTCCACAACATCAGGAGGATTTTCTTTCATTATATTATTTTGAAGGCTGGACAACAGTGGTGTGAACTGGGTACATGTTGTCACGTTAGAGCACTTGAACGTTACATGCAGGCAGGTTTTTCACAAGCTCCTCCCACAGGATGAGAGTAAGAGCAGCACTGATGTTCAGCAGGTCAGTAATTGTTCCTCCAGCTACAGAAGAGAGTCTCTCCTTAACCCTGGACGCTTCCTCCTTTTATTCCTATGTTCTGCTTATCTGATGATGTCAAAGGAACTAAAATCGGTCACTCTGGATCTTAATAATAAATGATTTGTTACTTGGCAAAAATAAACGTCTTTGTCCTCAGTCTCTGGCTTTTATCCTGGCTCTGTGGGCCGGGATACAAATAATTGTAGGTATACTGTACAATGCTGTTTATTACATTATATGGATTTTTCTGACATCATCTACTTTGGTTTTTTCTGATGATCATTTTCTAACATACTATAGCATGTCACTAGGTTCTCTAGTTGGGGCAGATATGGAAAAAGGGTTTTCCACTTGTCCTTATCATGCTATATGAATTAAGTGCAGCAGAGTAAGATACCTTAAACACATCTTCTTAAATATACATGACAGTAGTTGCATATACAAAGCTATGGTTTGAACATTTCTGTCATATGATGTAGCTCAGTTTTGTTATCACATTACTGATTATTAAAATCTGCCTTAAAGGTGCATCCATTAGTGATGTGTCGGTCTTTTAAGTGAACGACGGGAGCCGGCTCGCGCCTGCAAAAGAGCCGTTTCTTTTTGGTATTTTTTGTTAAAGGTGGGGTATGTAATTTATTTCAGAAACACTTTTTGTTATATTCCATGGAATGCTCTTAACATCCCGATAGCAATGAATATATTAAATGCTTTGACAATAAATACATTAAAAAATGTCATCTGTGGAAGCCGTGGCGCTGTAAAAAACACGACCAATCATTTTAGCCGGCCCGGCTAAAATAACTGGATGGCCTACCTGCCTGTCAGCCTTCCATCTGTGCACAAACTTATCTCGTGCCCTCATTGGTCATGTGCGCGTTCGTGTGTGTTGGAGGAGGGGCTCTGTAAGGAAGTCTGAAGGAAGTGGCAGATTTTTTCCGGCTGTGTATTTTCAAATTCTAGCGCACTCGAGCTGGTTTCTCCAAAATTACCTACCCCACCTTTAAGTAATACAAGACAGAATGATATGATGATCTCCGCACTACGGGTGCTCCGTGCAGTGACATGTAATATCCAAGGATTAGAGACGGTTGGATGCTGCTGTTTTGAGCATTGTTATTTATTTATGATTATCTTTAGGCTCAGCAAAGATTTGATGTCAGCTGTTGCTGTCTTTCTTTCTTTAGTTAAAGGTAGGGTAGGTAAGTTTGAGAAACCGGCTCGAGATACACTTTTTGTTATATTCCATGGAATGCTCTTAACATCCCGATAGCAATGAATATCTTAAGTGCTTTGACAAAAAATCCATAAAAAAATGTCATCTGTGGAAGCCGTAATACTGTAAAAAGCACGACCAATCATTTTAGCCGGCCGGCTAAAATAACTGGATGGCCTACCTGCCTGTCAGCCTTCCATCTGTGCACAAATTTATCTCGTGCCCTCATTGGTCATGTGCGCGTTCGTGTGTGTTGGAGGAGGGGCTCTATAAGGAAGTGGCAGATTTTCTCCGGTTGTGTATTTTCAAATTCTAGCGATCTCGAGCCGGTTTCTCAAACGTACCTACCCTACCTTTAATCACCACCTTACAAGCATCTTATGGCACATGTGTAAAATAAGTGCATTCACTCTTTTTCACAGTTAGTGAGAGGACTGGCACTGCATGGAGTCCACCAGAGGTGTACCCACTTAGGTTCACCCCAATAGAGTCATTTCAATGTTCATCAGTCAGTCTTGTTCTGTATTTAGATTTCATGACATTCATGTCAGAAAAAGCTGCTTCACAAAGTAGAGCCAAATAAAGCAGACATTTTCAGTGCTGCTTGGTGAATGTTCTTATAGTTTTCTGGGTCTACAAGGCTCCAGAAATGTTGTGAGTTTTGCTGAGTTATTGAATAAATCATTTAAAATGGCATGCCAACGCAATTTCCGCCATTGCAAACCGAGTCCGAGCCTACTGTATGCATGCACCTCGCGGGAGCGCGGCAGCGCGCTCAGTGTAAAGCGAAAACTCCCAGACATGTGAATGATTTGTATGGCAAAGTAAGGTTTGGAAACGATATCATTAGTGCGGATGCTGTGCAACAGCATCGAGACTACAACCTGTTTTCGGTTTCATTTATTTCCTCTGCTGTACCTGCTCGCTCTGTCTGGTTTCTCTCCTCGGGCGGGACTGACAGAACTTCTCTTTCTGTTGTTTACTTATGTGAGGATAGTTGTTCGTATTTGATCCAAACAGTGTTTCATTCGGGGATTTTGATCAAACACCACGTAGGTTTTTAAAGGACGGTTTATCTGGCTGTGGAGGGAACGAGAATGGCTTGCGAAGGAGACGGTATGTGGGGAAGCTTATTTAACGTACAGTTCAAGTCCCATTAAAGTTATATATTCACTATTCTGCTGCTCTATTACCCAGTAGTGTAAAGTAACTAAGTACACTGTACTTAAGTACTTACTTGAATATTTCAATTTGTTGCTACTTTGTACTTCTACTCCACTACAATTCAGGTGTAAATGGTGTACATTTGCTCCACTACATGTATTTATTAGCTTTAGTTACTTTACAGATTTGGAATGATGTGAAATATAATAATAAATCAGAATATAGTTACACCTGGAGTAAGTACAAGATCTGAGTAGGCTACTTCACCTCTGCTATTACACAGGTACTGTAATGAGAGGGTATAATGCTGCTTACTACGCTGTTTTACTCTCCACAGATGAGAGGATCGGGGAAGCCCTGATCAGAGAGTAAGTTCCTTCACTCATTTTATAATAATATGTAGTTTTGGCGCTTTCCATGCTAATACAACATTTTACAACAGAAACAGTTGAATCAATAACCGTTTAGATTTTCTTTATTTATATCCCAGTGGAAATTGAGTCTTTTGATAGTTGCACCCTTTTACCTGCACCCTTTAACGCTGCTGTGTGGACAGCGTTAAAAAAATCTTGGAGGTGGGCGTATCTGAAGTTTGGGGATTTTTTGCGAGCAACGCGACCAACAACCAATCACATGAATCTCCCGCCCCCGACATACAAAAAGCCCGAAGTAAACTGGATATAAACTCCCCAAACAGGCGAAAACCTACCACTGTCTCTGCCACCTCCCTCCATGCCTGGCTCCTCCGGTTTGTATCCCGGTAGGTAAATAGGGACTGGTCATAAAGCACCGGGTGATTCCCTACCGCTAATTTCTCCTCCATTTTTTGGAATATGAGGAAATGAACTGCGGTATAGAGTGGCGAAGTCACGCCCACTTACTTCCGGGTAATGGGACCTTATTTCGGAAAAATTATGCATTGAAGTCAATGGGGAGAGAAAACTTATCTTTCGATCCCGTTAGAATTGTACCATGAATTACACATATGATGTTTGTCAATCTTAAAAAATAATTTCCATGTCCTAAAAGTCACCGTTTGTCGTAAAACTGTTGAAATATAAGACTATTAAAAATACGTAACTAGAAAGACTACAAATCCCAGAGTCGCGTAAGTGATGTCACAATTGTTTTCCTCCACCATTCAGATACCTAAAATCAGCGCAATATAGATATAATCTATCTATATGGCGCTGGCTAAGATAAGATAACTTTAACAAGATGCCTGTGTGCTTAGTACCAGGTTGTTATTATACCAGCAATGCTTGCTCGTTCTTTTGCTTCCCGTCTGATGAAAGGACCAGGAGTGGCTTGATCAAGTTAGCTACCTAGCTAGTAGCTAGCACGTTAGTTAGCATTACAGCCTTGTCATTTTTATTAGCCTTAACATGAAGTAACATTAAGTAACCCAAAATGTTAAACAGTAAGAGTAGTAGTCATATTTCGTGAACCCTTTGAATAGTACTGTCACCGGTGTGATCATTCTATAATACACCATTTAAGCCCGGGGGAGAAATGCTAACGCTAACGCTAGCATTGACGATCTTCTCTACTTCATGCTATCTGCACAAATGGTTGACATTAAATATTAAAACGACCAGGCAGTTCAGAGAGAATCAAAGGAAGGCAGGCAGCTTTGCATGACATTCTTCAGGACGTGTTTCATTGTGGTGATAGTGAGTAGTCAATCGTTTTGTTGACAAGACAGTAGTGACGGCCATCTTGGTGACGTGTGTTGTTGACCAGAGATGTAGTTCATTGAGCGTTTCACACAAACAAATGTGTTACTTCACAGTTTTACGACACATTTTTTTTTTTTTTGACTTGCAAAATTATCTTTTAAATTGACACACATCATATGTGTAATTCGTGGCACAATTCAAACGGGATTGAAAGATAATCTTTCTCTCTCCATTGACTTCAATACATAATTTTTCCGAAATAAGGTCCCATGGAGGTCCACCGGAAGGGGAGGGACTTCGCCACTCTATGTCACTCCCAGCTTACACGCGGTTTGATTGGCTAGCGCTTGAACTGTCAGATTTGCATAAACGGGATTTGATTGGCTGACGCTTCCACCTCAGCTTCAAAAGTTGAACATTGCTCAACTTTTGAATCCTGAAAATCTCCGCTCTGCTGCCCACAATGCAGTTCGGCGAAAAGTGAGGCAAAGTGACGTCACCCCATTCAAAGTGAATGGGCAGAAGTGTAGAAGATGTTTTTAACGCTGCTGTGTGGACGCTCCGAAAGACTGATATATATATATGAAAGACGAATATATTTAAAACTGTCTTTTTACATGTGTGTGTATATATATATATAAACATAAGAATTTTCAGAAAATAAATAAATAAAGAACTTAAGATAACATAAAGATATTTATACTAAAATAAGAAGTTAAAGTAAAATGTCCAATAAATATAAAATAAAAGAGAATAAAATCAAAACCTGTGTATATTTCTTTTAGATTTAATAAAAAACATAAATCAACAAATAAATTGGACTGATTGGTTGATTATTCATCAGCTGAGGTTATGCTAATGTAATTTTCTAGTTATTTAAAATAAAATAGTAAAAGAGGCCATCATCTGTGAAGACAACTGAAAACACACTCAAATATAATAAACAGATATGGTAATGATTAAAGTCAGCTACACTTAATAAGCATTATTTTGTAATTAAAATACAAATGTTGTACCTTAAATGAATCGTTAACTTTCTAAAGCGAGTTTCAGTTTCATTTCACAGGACCAGACGATTCCCTTACGGTAAATCACACTGTGATCATGACTTATATAAGGAAGTAATAATGAACAAGTTTTGTGTATTCACAAATGGGTGTGTCGCCCTCGATGTGGCAGGATCAAATTTGAGCATACATTCTCCAACATGCTCCAAATGTCTCATGGATTATAAGAGTCCCGGTCTGAAGACATCTACACATTCACTCATAGACAGGGAGCTACTTCTCTAGTTGCCAGTTCATAGAGTCCTCTTGGGACCCCGGAAATGTAGAGTACCCCAAAGTTTTATGTTAGAAATGTATAGTAGCTACGGGTCCCCAGCACATAGAAACTGCTGGATGCTAACTTGCTGTTAGGCAATTCGCACAAGTAGCATACGTTTTGTTAATTAGCATTACTTACTATAATAGCCTATGTGGTAGGCAGTGCTTGAATTGGGCCGGTAGTCACCGGTACGCAGTACCGGGACTTCAGATTTGTACCCACCTGGTACCGTTACTTCTTACTGAGTACCGGTGTTACCGAATAAGATGTGGGACGAACAACTGGTGATATTCTATTATTTTAGACAGATGTATCAGGGGCGTGGCCTTTGTCAAATAACCAGGAAATACACATTTCGATCGCTTCTTCTGTCGTTTACATTCATCTTTTGGTATATTTGGCTGGATAGGAACACTTTGATGCACATTCAGTACCAGTGTGTGAGGTTGTGGTTGCGATGCCGATATCCGGACGCGTACAGCGAGGACTACAAAAAGACACATGAGGTGACTGGGGATGTGTGTTCAAAACATTGCAAGCTTGAATAAATCATTTAAACCAGGGGTACTCAAATACAAATCTTAAAGGTCCAAAAAAATTGTTTCAATAAGACAAAGGTCCGTTTATTACGGTCATTCAAACTTTTAAACAATTGCAACAAGATTCTTAACACGAGGTTGCAAAAACAAAAATAATCTGTATGCAGCAGTTTTCATTGTTATTGTGTCTGTGCTTGATCCCTCAGAGTCGCAGTGTGAGCTGCACAGTTATGAATAAAGGCAGCTGCACCCTCTTTCATTCAGCATTCCCATTATTGCTTTATAAATGTCTTGCCCCCTTCTGTGTCCACTGAGGTTCGTCAGGCCCAACACATCTTCAACAAACTCCCCCTTTGCCTCATCATAAAAACTCACAAACACCAGCAACTGAGCATTGTCAGTGGTGTCAGTGGACTCATCCACAGCTAAGGAAATGCACTATGCATTTTTTATTCCATCACAAAGCTGATTAATCAAATCACCAGCCAGTATTTATGTTCTTCTGGTTGCTGTGGAATCATCTGAGAGGGGGATTTGCTTAATTTGACCTGTTACAGTATTTCCTCTTTTTGTTTGCCTTCAAACATGGTCTCCATCACTTCAGTCATGCATTATTTTATACTTCAGTTATTATCCAGTGGAATGCCCTTACCTACTGGCCTAGTTAAATCAAAGTGGTTACTTTTTTTTGGCTGGGCAGTGTAGTTTTACACACCGTCTTATTTGACTTTCTCAGGACTTAAAACTGTTTTTTGGGGGCAGACCCCCACAAAGAAAAAAATATATTTACACACGTAAGGTCATCATCTTAACAGTTTTGTATGCTCATCCGTGAGCAGAGCATCAAGTTGACATCAGGGATGCAAACTCATCAGGTATGAAAAAGGTGACAAGGATCCGAGCCCCCCGACCCCACGGAATATCGGCTTTAAAATGAGGAATAACAGAGGATTTTAGCAGTCAGAACAACTAAAGCAGTTAATAATAACAGAAACGCCAAAGAGTCACATCTAATATAAATATATAAAAGCATTTATTTTAATTGTGTAGCAGTCAGTTTATAATTTTGGCAGCACTGTTGAGCATTTTGAAAATGTATTTTCATGCCTCTGTGCAAGGCTTAGTCTTTATATCTTTATAGCCACTGGTGTAAAGTAACTAAGTTCATAAACTCAAGTACTATACTTGGGTACAATTTTGAGATACTTGTACTTTATTTAAGTATTTCAATGTTTTGCTACTTTGTTCTTCTTCTCCACATTTCAGAGGTAAATGGTGTACTTTTACTCCACTACATGTATTTAATACCTTTAGTTACTTTACAGATCTGGATGAATGATGTGAAATATAATCAAGTGTTAAATCAGACTTTAGTTCCACCTGGAGTAAATTCACAAGCTACCCTGCAGTATACAAAGTCATTCAAACTAGCTGCACCTTTACCAGCTTTGAGAACACTTTCATGATCAATCATTATAAAACATATCATATATATTATTCTGAAATGACCAATCTGCACAATGACTACTTTTACTGTCGCTACTTTAACTATATTTTGATGAGAATACTTTTCTACTTTTACTTGAGGAACATTTTGAATGCAGGATTGTTCCTACACTCTGGTACTTCTACTTTTACTCAAGTACAAGACCCGAGTACTTCTACTTTTACTCAAGTACAAGATCTGAGTACTTCTACTTTTACTGTCGCTACTTTAACTATATTTTGATGATAATACTTTTGTACTTTTATTTGAGGAACATTTTGATTGCAGGATTGTTCCTACACTCTGGTACTTCTACTTTTACTCAAACCTGAGTACTTCTACTTTTACTCAAGTACAAGATTTGAGTACTTCTACTTTTACTTAAGTACAAGATCTGAGTACTTCTACTTTTACTCAAGTACAATATCTGAGTACTTCTACTTTTAATCAAGTACAAGATCTGAGTGCTTCTACTTTTACTCAAGTACAAGATCTGAGTACTTCTACTTTTACTCAAGTACAAGATCTATACTTATACCACCTCCGTTTATAGCCTATGAAAAAAACTATTAGAAAACGAAGGCTAAAGCTAACGTTAGCAGATAGTGACAATGTATGCTAGTTAGCTAGCTCGACAACGATAATATTGCGACAGAAACACTTTTCAGTGCACATCACGCTCTGCCGCTCCGACAGGGTGCACTGCTCTGAACACCTGAACGGCCCGTTCTAACAGCTGTTCACCAGCGGTCCAGTCTGCCACAGTGACTCCGGACCGCACAGTTAATATTAACGAACGCACCCGTAGATAATGTAGCTAATGAAGCTAGACCATCATCGTGGAGCAGCAGAGCCTTATTATACATCCATGAGCAGAGCCGACAGGCAGGAAGACTCGAGCACACAGATCGCGCTGCATTATAATATATACACCATGCGTGTCATGATGGCACATAACAGCTCGCGGCCGCCGATTACTCCGGGTCCCAGACCCCACCCCATACCCCAAAAATATTTTTATTGCAGATCTACATGAATCACACAAACGACATATTTTGGATTCAAAACGGCGAATTTCGCCGAAAGGTGACAAGTTTGCATCCCTGTGACATGTCTATTACAGCTGAATGCGGCGATTACCATTTTGTTCAGCAAAAGGCCTCACAAACTTATTAAGATCAACAGCTTTAGTGCGTTTTGATTCAATGCTGAGTACAGCCAAACTTGCCAGTCTCTTCTCTGTCATTGTAGACCACAAATACCTCATTCCTTCAGTACTTGGGTCTGAATGCTTCTCGTTTTGCGCCGTACCGTTCAAATGAAATCAGGGCCGGGGGAGGGGTTACAAGACGTGCGTCTTGTGCTGCATTCACTTGCACTCGGACATTAGAGACTTTCTCTCATCAATGTCCGATGAGCCACAACTTTTCTTTCAAAACAAAGCTGCCAACTGGGGTGGCAGCTGGGGTGGCAAGGCCTATTTTTAGGGTGGCAATTGCCACCCCATGCCACCCCGGTAGGTGAAACTAGGCTACTAGCTACAGTACAGATGCAACTAGATGAGCTGTTAACTCTCGCTCTGACTTTTTTTTTTTAAACACACACACATTTTTCCCACCCGCATTCCACGAAGACCCGCCCTACTGTGCCTCTGATTCGCAGACTGTTGGTGGGGGGGAAAAAACGCTGACGGGATGCTGAATGTGATTGGACCAATGCGTTGACAGACACACACAGACAGTGGAACAGTCGGATATGCAGAGCGCTGTTTGCAGTGGACATAGCGGAGAATTTTGACTCGTTGCGTTGTGGCGATGTCTCGCAGATAACACAGATAACACAGATAATACATATGAAAAGTATAATTTGCTCAGAGTCCAGAGACAGTTGTGGTTCGGTCCGGATCCGGACCGCAGTCCGGACTTTGAGGATGCCTGATTTAAACCATTTATTTTTGCCAGACTTATTACTGAATATCATTCTTAATGTGATACCAAGTCCATCTGAGACCTGTGTATACCTTCAGACAGCCTCCAAGCAGGGCCGCCTTAATGCACGGGCTGACCTGGGCTGAAGCCCAGGGGCCTACGGAGATCGGGGGCCTATCATGAGCCAATAAAACAATAAAGAATTATTTTTTTTTATTTTTTTTATTTCAGGAGTTTTTTTTTTTTTTTTTAAATAAACAAAGTCTTGGCTCTCAGAATATGAAACTTTTATTTCCAAAATCACACGATAAATATATTTTTGAAGCTTGTAAAGGGAAGAAGACAGCTCTCCACAGCGCCGCTTCCCCTCCCTCCGCTGAAATTATGAATGTAAGGTGTATAGCAGGGGTACTCAAACTTTTTTATTAAAGGTCCAGTTGTGAACTTTATACAAGGTCACTGGTCCGGATCAATGCCCCCCCCCCCCTCGAGCGGAGAAACGAAACTGAAATTAAGAAGCAGTTTCTTGGCGCTCTATGCATGGGGCCCCCTTGAGGGGGTTTCCCGACATGTCGTTGCAGTAAATTAAAGGGTGTTTCATGTTGTCGTTGCTGTGGACCTTCTTAATCTACCTTCTTTGGGGGCCCCTTCTGGTCCAAGCACTTGCCTGTCGGTAGACGGCGCGCCTGTATACACACACACATTCAATACATACATACAGTATGTCAAGGTAAACTTGCGGTTAACTTGCGGTCAGGATAGCTGGTTTGGTCACAGTGGTCTAGCTGGTTACCATTAGCTGGTCGGGATAGCTGGTTTAGCTGGTAAAAGCTGGTGGTCACAGTGGTCTAGCTGGTCAGGATAGCTGGTTTGGTCACAGTGGTCTAGCTGGTCACCATTAGCTGGTCGGGATAGCTGGTTTAGCTGGTAAAAGCTGGTGGTCACAGTGGTCTAGCTGGTCAGGATAGCTGGTTTGGTCACAGTGGTCTAGCTGGTTACCATTAGCTGGTCGGGATAGCTGGTTTAGCTGGTAAAAGCTGGTGGTCACAGTGGTCTAGCTGGTCAGGATAGCTGGTTTGGTCACAGTGGTCTAGCTGGTTACCATTAGCTGGTCGGGATAGCTGGTTTAGCTGGTAAAAGCTGGTGGTCACAGTGTTCTAGCTGGTCACCATTAGCTGGTCCGACTGGTATGATCTTGAGCAGAACTTTAACTGGGATTACTTGATGGTTAAGCTGGTCATATATGATGATGAAACACTCTCACCCAATTGCAGTAGCTCAATGAACATCTATCATTTCAGATCAGAGCACCTACCTTTGTCACGATCTTATGAAGGACCCAAATGCAGCACTCGAGAAACCAAGGAGTATTGGTAATGTACTTTATTGGTAATACTACCAGAGCAGAGGAATACCAGCAGAACAGTATCAGCCGGATGATGTGCAGGCCGACGAACCAGAGGACAGCGGGCAGAAGGTGAGTCAGGGCCGGGCAGAGGGTCAGGGAGCAGGCGAGGCGGTCAACGTAGGTACAGGCAGGGTCAGACAGCAGGCAAGGCAGGATAGTCCAGGGACAGGCAGGATCAGGGAACAGGCAGAGCAGGCAGGTCAGGGACAGGCAGGGTCGGAACCGGGTGGGCAATCTGGTGACAAACGCGTGAAAGACTAGCATGAAGACAAAGTACGATCTGGCAATGGGTGTGTGTCTGGTGAGGGTTTAAATACTGGCAGTAAAGCTAATGGGTGCAGAAGAGAAAGAGAGTGAGCAAAAACGTGGGTGTGGTTAACAGGTGAGACAGGTGAATGGAAAACTACTGGTGAATGATGGAGCAGAACTGTGACAGAACCCCCCCCTTAATGGACGGCTCCTGACGTCCCTAAACACTAATCTACAGAGGAGGGTGGGAGGTGGGGTTAGTACTCATCTGAAAAAGTTCTTTCGGCCTCCTTCTCCTGCCCCCTGTGGGAATCGGCGTCCTCATCAGAAGCAGGCCCCTCACTGTCCTCCTCGGAAGAGCTGACAGTATGTGGAGAGACTCTCCTAGTGTCTCTGCCCGTCGATGTGATGGCCTTAGAAGGTTGCTCGGGATTGCGCTGATGGAACTCTCTGATGAGCCGGGGGTCCAACACATGACGAGCTGGAACCCAAGACCTCTCCTCAGGGCCGTAACCCTCCCAGTCTACCAGGTACTGGACTCCTCTCCCTCTGCGACGGGAACGAAGCAGTCGATGGAAAGTGTACGTAGGTCCGCCGTCAATCATCCGGGGGGGTGGTGGAGGAGGGACCGCAGGAACCAGTGCACTCTCTCGGACAGGTTTGATCCTGGAAACATGAAAGGTGGGATGGACCCGCAGAGTCCGAGGCAGTCTTAGCCTTACTGCTGCGGGATTGATTATCCTTATAATCTCAAATGGTCCAATGAACCTCGGTGCAAGCTTTTTCGACTCCACCCGTAAAGGAATATCCTGGGTGGACAGCCATACCTTTTGGCCCACCTGGTAGACGGGTGCCTTGGAACGTCGGCGGTTGGCAGAGGAGGCGTACCGGTTGGCCGAACGAACAAGAGTTATCCGGGCTTGATTCCAGGTCTGGCGACAGCGACGAATGAAAGCCTGAACGGACGGACAGGTAACCTCCCTCTCCAGGGCCGGAAACAGAGGGGGTTGGAACCCGTATGCACACTGAAATGGGGACAGCTTGGTGGCCGAACTGATCAAAGTGTTGTGGGCGTACTCGACCCAGAGCAGTTGTTTAGCCCAGGCCGCTGGGTGCTTGGAGACTATACAACGTAAAGCCGTCTCCATCTCCTGGTTCTTCCTTTCGGTCTGACCGTTGGACTGAGGATGGAAACCGGAAGACAGACTGACCGTGGCCCCAATGAGTGTGCAGAATTCCCTCCAGAACACCGAGGTAAATTGGGGACCACGATCGGAAACCACATCGGTAGGTAGCCCATGGAGCCGGAACACATGGAGCAGGACCAGCTCCGCCGTCTCTTTAGCTGAGGGGAGCTTGGGTATCGGCACAAAATGAGCCATCTTACTGAACCGGTCTACCACCGTCAAAATGGCAGTGTGCCCGTTGGACGGTGGCAGACCAGTAACAAAGTCCAGAGAAATGTGGGACCAGGGGCGATGAGGGATAGGCAGAGGTTGTAGGAGACCAGCAGGAGCTTGGTGAGAAGACTTGTGTTGATTGCACACAGGGCAGGCATTAACAAATTCCCTGGTGTCCTCCTTAAGTGTTGCCCACCAGAACCTTTGCTGGACTACCTCCCGGGTACGTTGGATACCAGGATGGCAGGTGAGTCTGGAGTTGTGGGCCCACTGGATAACATCAGACCTCAACATCTGCGGAACGAACAGGCGGTTCGGAGGACAGGCACTGGGTCCCGGCTGGTCATCCAGGGCGGCCTTGACCCTCTCCTCCACTTCCCAGGTAAGGGCGGCGACGAGCTGAGGAGTCGGAAGGATGGTGTCTGAGCCTCTGGGAATGTTACCTCCCTCCCCAAACTGACGAGACAGAGCGTCAGCCTTAATGTTCCGAGAACCAGGGCGGTAGGAGAGGGAGAAATTGAACCGAGTGAAAAATAGGGCCCATCTAGCCTGTCGGGAATTCAGTCTGCGGGCCGACCGGATGTATTCCAAATTCTTGTGGTCGGTCCACACCAGGAAAGGTTGACTGGTCCCCTCGAGCCAGTGACGCCACTCCTCCAGAGCCAACTTCACTGCTAGCAGCTCCCGGTTTCCAACATCATAGTTTCTTTCCGCTGGTGTCAAACGCCTCGAAAAGAAAGCACAGGGATGGAGTTTTTGGCTGTCTGTTGCTCGCTGAGACAGGATGGCCCCCACCCCCATATCAGAAGCATCCACCTCCAAAACAAATTGTCTTTCAGGATCGGGTACTCGGAGGATGGGGGCGGAGGTAAACCTGGCCTTAAGGTTCTGGAACGCCTCCTCAGCCGAGGAGGACCACTGGAACATAACCTTAGAGGAGGTCAGGGCTGTGAGTGGAACGGCCAAGGTGCTGTATCCACGAATGAACCTCCGGTAGAAGTTGGCGAACCCGAGGAACTGTTGTAGCCGCTTCCGGGAGTCTGGAACCGGCCAGGAAGTGACTGCATCGACCTTGGAGGGATCCATCTCAATGCTCCCCTGTCCCACGATGTATCCCAGAAAAGAGACAGAGGATGTGTGAAACTCACACTTCTCCGTTTTAACAAACAGTGAGTTCTCCAGCAACCTCTTGAGAACCGCCTGGACGTGGTGCACGTGTTCCTTCAGAGTCTTGGAAAATATCAGGATGTCATCCAAGTAAATAAATACGTGTCGGTCCAACATGTCACGGAGCACGTCATTTACCAACGCCTGGAATACTGCAGGGGCGTTGGTAAGTCCAAAAGGCATCACCAGATACTCGTAGTGCCCCGAGGCAGTGTTGAAGGCGGTCTTCCACTCATCCCCCTCGCGAATACGTACCAAGTGGTACGCGTTACGCAAGTCCAGCTTGGTGAATATGGTTGCTCCCTGCAGCAACTCGAATGCAGAGGAGATAAGAGGCAGTGGGTATCGATTTTTTACAGTAATGTCATTAAGACCCCGAAAGTCGATACAGGGCCTTAGGGTCTTGTCCTTCTTCTCCACAAAGAAGAACCCCGCTCCAGCGGGTGATGAGGAAGGGCGAATAATCCCAGCCGCCAGAGAGTTATTGATGTACGTCTCCATGGAAACTCTTTCCGGAGCAGACAGGGAGTACAATCGACCCCTGGGAGGGCTGGTACCGGGATGTAGGTCGATGGCACAGTCGTAAGGCCGGTGTGGTGGTAGGGAAGTAGCCCTCGTCTTGCTGAATACTTCCTTAAAGTCCAGATATTCCGGTGGAACCCCTGTAACATCCGGAACTTGGCTGGGGTTCACCGAACGCTGAGGCGCGGCAGCCTGTTTCAGACAGATCTGATGACAAGAGGGGCTCCACCCCAAAATGGCTCCCGTCTCCCAGTCAATGTTAGGGTTGTGGCGGCGGAGCCATGGGTAACCCAGGATAAGCGGAATATGTGGAGACCGGAGAACATGAAACTGAATAGTTTCGTGATGGTTCCCGGACAGGAGCATGTGAACAGGTACAGTCTGATGAGTCACTGTCCCCAGCAGGTGACCGTCTAAGGCGCTGGCTGGAACTGGGCGAGATAAGGGAACCCGGTCTATTCCCAACTGCAGCATAAGCTCTTCGTCCATAATACTCGCGTCCGAACCAGAGTCAATAAAAACTGCAAGAGCCTGAGAGCTATCCGGTAATAGCAACCTGGCGTGGCTCAATGGTCTCTGAGCGGGAACAAATCCAGGGGTTTGGCTCACCAGTATGTTCCCCATTACTGCTGAGCCTTGCCTTTTACCGGGCAGCGAGAAACAAAATGGCCGGCCCGGCCGCAGTAGAGACATAGGTTACCTCGTCTGCGATGTTCACGTTCCTCCAAGGTGAGGCTGGTGCGACCCACCTGCATGGGCTCATCACCCCCTGGTTGCGGCTCTGGAGTGAGGGGAGGAGTCCCAGTCGAACCCGGATGTCGGGGCGCCCATGCATGTTGAACTCCCTCCGATCGTCGCTCCCGTCTCCGTGTCTGGATGCGCCGATCCATGCGGGAAGTCAGCTCAATCAGCCCATCCAGTGAGTTGGGCAGATCAAAAGACACCAGCTCATCTTTAATGTAAGCCGCCAAGCCACGCAGATAGGCGTCACACTGGGCTTCAGAATTCCAGTTGCTGAGGCGGCCCTTGGTGCGAAACCCAATAGCATAATCCACCACAGATCCATTACCCTGGCTCAGGCTCAGTAATCCTCCTGCAGCGTCTGGACCCACAGACACGGGTCCAAACACCTTGCGCAGCTCCGCGGAAAAAGCGGGGAAAGAAGAGCAGGCGGGTGTCTGCCGCTCCCATTCAGCTGTGCCCCACAGTCGGGCTTTCCCAGTCAGATGATTGACCGTGAACGCCACACGAGCTGCTTCAGAAGCGAAAGTGTGTGGCTGCAGCGCGAACAGGATAGAACAGTTAGTAAGAAACGGGCTGCAGCCCTCCGGTTCCCCGGCGTAACGCTCCGGAGTTCCCACCCGAGGCTCTGGGGTAAATCCCATCGGAGAGAATGCAGAAGCGGGTGCCGGCGGCATGGGAAGAGGCGCTGGAGCAGCCCCTACTGCCGCCGCTAGCTGCTGCACAGTAGCCGTTAGCTGCTGTAGCTGCGCAGCTAAATAGGTTAGAGTCTGGTCGTGTGTAGAGTTAGCATGATGAGCCTCGGTGGCCAGGGAGGCTATCGAGGCTCCCTGCCTCTGGAGAGCGTCCTCAACTCTCTCGAAACGGTCTTTAGGTGAAGAGGAGTGCGCTGGGTCCATGTTCTGGCCAGATCGTTCTGTCACGATCTTATGAAGGACCCAAATGCAGCACTCGAGAAACCAAGGAGTATTGGTAATGTACTTTATTGGTAATACTACCAGAGCAGAGGAATACCAGCAGAACAGTATCAGCCGGATGATGTGCAGGCCGACGAACCAGAGGACAGCGGGCAGAAGGTGAGTCAGGGCCGGGCAGAGGGTCAGGGAGCAGGCGAGGCGGTCAACGTAGGTACAGGCAGGGTCAGACAGCAGGCAAGGCAGGATAGTCCAGGGACAGGCAGGATCAGGGAACAGGCAGAGCAGGCAGGTCAGGGACAGGCAGGGTCGGAACCGGGTGGGCAATCTGGTGACAAACGCGTGAAAGACTAGCATGAAGACAAAGTACGATCTGGCAATGGGTGTGTGTCTGGTGAGGGTTTAAATACTGGCAGTAAAGCTAATGGGTGCAGAAGAGAAAGAGAGTGAGCAAAAACGTGGGTGTGGTTAACAGGTGAGACAGGTGAATGGAAAACTACTGGTGAATGATGGAGCAGAACTGTGACAACCTTACCAGAAAGGTACCAGAATGTATAGAATGTCTGTAAATAAATACTCATACATCAAATGATTAGAAGCAGGAAAATAATTTATAACACACAATGAACATTAACACACATTTGAAAACATTTTCAAAACACCCATTACTTCATATTTTTAAGCAGTTTCCTTCAATTGTTTCTTTCCGTTTTTCACAAGGTCCTGTATTTTTTGTGAAATGTAGTAACCGGCCAACTTCTCCCTCTCGGTCTTCTCCACGTTTTGTGAATTCAGCCATCCTCTGAAGCACTCTTGAAAAGAGAAAGGAAAAACAGATTAAATGTTAGCTTTGTGTTATGATTACTTAAAGGGCCCATGTCATGCTTTTCCGGTTATTACCCGTCCCCTTGTGTGTTATGAAGGTTTTTATGCATGTAAACGGTGTGCAGAGTCACAAACCCTCAAAGTACACCCTGTAGCGAGTAAAACTCTAACACAGAAAATACCTCCCCAAAACGCCTCGTTGGAGATACGTCATTGTCCATTTGATTCTTCCATTTCGTTCCGGGTACGGCATGATGTCAAGCCGTACCCGGAACGAAATGGACCAATCCGTGGAGCCGTTACGTTACGTCCGCGGAGCCGTTACGTTAAGCCCCCGCTGATTGGTCCAAATTGACCAATCCACGGACTTCCTCACACACACATCTGTGTGCAGGGAGCAGGCAGCTCAGCTGATTTCTCCTCCCTGGCTGCAGGCTGATAACAGACAGTTGGGATCGCGGTGAAATTCTCTCTGCAGACCCATTCTCACAGCGTTTATCAACCTTTTTCTTACTCAATATCAAGCCACACTTATTGTTTTTACTTCGGCTGTGACTTTGTGTGTGCTCAGGATGAGTTTGGCTGTGTTTGGCTGTGTATCGCTAACAAGGAAACAACACCTCCACGGAGCTCAGCGCGATTCACAACGTCCCGTCACACTGTGCTCACAGGGAGGGTGGGGGCTGGAGCTATTGGAGCTACAACGAGCCGTTAAATCAGAGAGTGAAATTCAGTGAATACACGTAGTTTACAGAGATGCTGTATGAGAAACCAATGTGAGTTTGGAAAATTGCACAATATAAATCTATTCTAGTATACCTCAACAATGGAATTATGATCAGTGGAAATGGCCATGACATGGGCCCTTTAAATATGTGCACTGTGAGATGAAAAAGAAAAATGTATCAAGTTTAGTTTTGAACATTCACTGTGATTGGGTCTATTGTCCACGCAATACACCGTATTTAATTTTTTATTTAATATTCTGTTCTTGTAAATATCATATTCTATTATATTACATGTATATAAACTTTTTGCACTACTTTTTATTTTGTATTTTTGTATTTTATTATATATGTTGCATTGTTGGAGGAGCTCAGGTCAGAAGAATTTCATTGACATTTCTACACTGTAGCTGCTGAGCATATGATGATAAAACCTTTGAATCTTGAATCCAACACTTTTTTCAGTGGAAAATCCTAAATTGTAGGATAGTTTGGCCATAATAATGCTTTATGATTACATTTCTAGTGAGAAGTGTATATTTTACTTTCAGAATCTACTTCCAGTGGATGTGTAGGATCTACAGTATGATAGATATATTACTTTACACCCGGAAGTATGTATTGTCATTCTTATTGTCGATAAATTGAGGGATATACACTATATTTTATTAACACCAGTATGTACTTTATACATCCACCTCGAGTGTTTGTCTCTGCACCGGAAATAATTTAATTTTAAAGTTCAACCGCATATTATATAGACTATATCAGCGCCACACCTGCGTAACACATGCTGCCTCTTATCTGAACCATTTTTTAAGCGATTTGTAATCTATTCTTGTCGACTTGCAGCCTAAATACAAAGATAAATCCACTCTCCTACCACTGCTTACCTCTAATGAGCCTTGGTAGAACTAGTGTCCGAGTCATGGGGTCCAGAACGGACTGAAGATATGTGGAACAGAGGACAGGCATGATTCCATGTACAGGGAACTTTTTGAACCTTTCTGCAGCGATAAATAAAGAAAACAAAGAAGACATTATTAATAATAGTAATGATGGTAACAACAATAATATTAGTATAACTATTTATATAGCACTTACACAATTGCAAAGTGATTCTCACAACAAAAATAAAGAACAAAACAATATCAACAATAAAAAAACAAATGATTATAGGAATGTTAAGAGACAAAGAAATGATAAACATTCTGAGAGGCCGACTACAAAAGGTAGACTCAATGGCTCTTGATGACATCAATGAGCAGTCCCAATAGATGCTGCTGTATAAAAAGAAATAGAATAGGTCCAGATTTCTTCTATTTTGTGTTGGATGATTTGTTTTATTGATTGCTGATGGATGTATATATATATAGGGTTTATTAAACAGCAGTAAAGCATTAAGTTGCTAAATTAATGTACACTGAACTGTAAAACAACTTACCACTATTTAGGAAAGGCTCTGATCAGGAGGGTTGACTAGTAGGACAGCAAAGAGGTGGTGTCATGTACAACCATTGGTAGATGTTACACCTGAAAGAAAGATAAGGAAATAAGAGAAGACAGGAGGACAAACATCCTCTTAAGTGAAAGACCAAATCATGTCAAGCTTTAACCTGAGCCTGTTTTTTCAGTCTTTACAATGCACAGTTGGAAAATACCTTCCAAAGGCTACATTCAAACTCAATACCATAAATAACTGGGTACCAAAGTGCTTTACCTGATAGAACACGTTCCACACGGAGCAGCAACCACCCGGCTCGGCCTTTTGCTGCATATCATCTCCTCCCTCTCCACTGTTTCCAGTAGATCTCTACTGTCCAATAAAACTGAAATTCCCCAAAAAATCATATTAAAAAAGTTAAAAACAATAACTTGCTTTTGGCATTGAAATAGATTAGATTAGATTAGAATCTCACCTTTTTCCTGGATGTCAGGAAGGCGTTCCCTTCAAGTCCGCAACCAGTCATAGGGGTTCAAATGCAAAGCCTGAACGATGACAAGAGCGAGATTTACATTTTACAATTATATTTTTAATTCATACCAGAGCAGTGTGGACGACATGCAAAGAACAGATCAAATCCCCTGACAGACTCACACACTTTGGTGATGTCCTTATCTGATAATGTTTCATTTTTTAGCAGCAAAGTAACATTACTCAAAGTATATGTATGTTTTGCATCTCCTCAACAATGGTCTGTATCATTGAGTAGAAAAAAACTGTCCCCACAATTTCAGGTAGATTAACACACATTTGTAAGAAAGGTTTACAATGAAGCACAAAAACCCTCTTTGTATTAAGCTAGCTGCCACAGAAAGTACAGCTTAACATGCTAACCTTTGGTGGAGAGCTACAGTTAGCTAACTTCATGTTCAACACAACACCTCTAATGGCATTACATTGACGATTTTAAACAAAACGTAACTCTCTCAACTTGTAAGATAACGTTAAGTTAACTTACAACGTATAGCTGCATCACGTTTTTCAGGGGAAACACAAACTGCAGAAAACGTTAGCTGCTAACTGTTGTTAGCTAAGACAGCTAGCCTCCTAGCAAACGTAAGGTTAAGTTAACATTAACGTAACGTTGTAAGAAAGCAAAACGAACCTTCGAGAAAGCTTTTACTCTCAGACTTGGTGAAATTGTGTAGTGTTGCTTACCTCCAGAAGGACTTTTAGCGCGTTTCCCAGTAGACAGAGCTGTCAGAGCAGTGCCTCTCAGAAGAGCAGCCGCTGGGCGGAGTCACAGAAACGTTCAACTGATCTTCACTCCTCGACCGTTAGTGCCAGTCAAAACATACCGCTTTGTTTCAACCACTGCCGTCTCGCCGTTCCCCCGTGTCCCACCCTCTCTGTCTGTCTGTGTCTATTTCAGTTTCGCTAGCAAGACTGCTGGTAGACCAGCTTCACCAGCTTCACCAGCATAGACCAGCTAAAACCAGCATAGACCAGCATGACATCAGGGTTGCCAACTCTCACGCATCTGGCGTGTGACACACGCTTTCACTCTCAACCTCACGCTCTCACGCTGCCCAAACTATTCTCACGCCAAAAACAAGAATACTGAAGATTAGAAACGGTTTTGAAAACTTTTGTCACGTAGTGATCGTCTTCTCAATAGAACATCTTTGATAATGTCTTCTGGCCAATCAGAATCACGATAACGGCGTGGTGTTGTTGCAGGAAGTCCCGACGGAGAATACTTTTGCTGTAGTACATCTCTATACAACATTACGTGTTGATAGAATTCAACACGTAATGAAATAAGACCCCACGGTTTGATGATTGATAGGTGTGTGGGCTGTCTTTCATTTTGACACACAGAACAATGGGGGCTATCCACCCTTATCCACAATGTAAAGTAATTCACACAGCCTCTTCCCTCTTCTCTCTGTGAGGAGCAGCAGGTTCAGCTTTCAGAACAAAGTAACACAAAACTAAAATGGCATTAATTTTTTTAAATATGTCGTGTAGTAATAGATTTATTTATTTTTCTTCTTAAGAGAGTACCAGAATGTGTATTTTATGTTAGTATTTAAAAAACTCCTGGGGGAGAATCCCCCCAGACCCCCCTGCAGGGCTTGGGTTTTCAGCATGTCAACTCTTTCACCTGTGGGGAAATTGCAGGATTGGCTCCAGGTCGCCCTTTTTATTTACTACAAGACAAATGTGCCTTTTTATTTCATACATTTCAATTTGGATTGAGACAGGGAAATAATCTAAACCTCACGCGTGGCGTTTCACTGTCGGGGGGAGCGTGTATGTAATTACATTGCAAATACTGACTTGAGCCCCACCACTGTATGGGTTAGCCCTACCATAGATTACCCAACAAAAATACTCTGGAGCCGCAACTGCGGACCCGTATTGCGCATGCGCAGATCTAAGATCCAGTAGAAATGATAAAAAGTAAAAGTCTGCTGCTTATTGTTCTACTAGGCCAAAATAGAGTCAAAGAGTATATGAGAGTGAGAGTGTGTTAATGAATATATTTGGCAGTTTGGAGTAAGTCTGTAGATTTGTTTGTGTGTGTGTGTTTCATGTATAGGCCTCTCACGATAATTAATTTTGTTGGATACATTTTCCCGGAAATTATTGCGATAAACGATAATATTGTCGGCACCGTTGTATGACCATTTTAGACCACTGACATAATGATAATATATAATAATTAGGGCTGTCAAGTTAACGCGTTAATAACGCGTTAACGCAAAAAAATATTAACGCCACTAATTATTTTAACGCGATTAACGCATGTGTATTTTTTGTCCTCGGCCGCCGTAGTTTCAGAGCGCATCGAGTGTAAAATACCATCGACAAGCTGATGCTGACAGCCCCGCTCCTGCCACCCGCTTGTGGCAGACCACACTACCACGCTCACTGGCAGGCCCGGACTGGCCATCGGGAGGACCGGGAAGGAGTGTGTATGTGTGGCGCGACTCGCGCGAGCGAGGCACACCTTACGTGTTGTTGTTGTTGTTAGCATCTGGTGCTAGCTAGCTGCGCTGACGGATATAAGGAGCTGTTTCAATGACATTTCGCCGACAACTGCGCCGAGCACTTGACTTTATGCAGGTAGCCAGACAGTGGGACATTGTACGAAAAGTCAGCACAGTCAGCACGGATAGTGCGCGCAACATGATTGCAGCGTCCAGGCAGCTCCCATTCGAGCATATATGCCTTGAGCTGCACATAGCTCCATAGATCCATCACAGTGTCTCCACACACACACACACACACACACACACACACACACACACACACACACACACACACACACACACACTGTATTATTGTATGAGAGAGGTTCCAGGTTGAATTGAGGCGAATATTTGTAATGTTCAGAGGTTGTTGTGTTTAATATTCATGAGAATATTTGTCATTGTTCAAATGATAATAAACAAACATATAAAGCATATGTGTCCACTCATATGTTGATAAGAGTATGAAAAACTTGAAAGATATCCCTCTAAGGTACATTTAGAACAGATAAAAAATGTGCGATTAATTTGCGATTAATCGCGATTAACTATGGACAATCATGCGATTAATCGCGATTAAATATTTTAATCGACTGACAGCCCTAATAATAATAATTCAAGTACATCCTTTCAAACTGCTAGTCACATCCTCATGTAAATGGCAATTTATCGAGGTCAGAAAAGTTATCGAGTTCATTTTTATTTATCGTACGATAAGTCAATTAATTGCTTATCGCGACAGGCACACAATAAAACAGTGGAAACAAACATGTTTGACTTTCATTAGTGAATGAAACTGTGTGCCCTTTATAGTCTGTGTCCATTATTGTGTATTTGAATATATTGTATATATATCCTATATATATGCTAAGGTCCCGCTGCTGACACGATAGCAGTCATTTCGTGTGCATATGTGTAATTAAACCCATGATATCAAAATCTCACTCCAGCCAGGTACCCAAAGTTGGCAACCCTGATGACATCCATGCTGGGCTATGCTGGTTTAGCTGACCAGGCTGGTCTTGAACCAGCAAGAACAGCCTGGTAAACCAACTAAACCAGCCTAACACCAGCCTAACACCAGCTAAAACCAGCTAAAACCAGCTAAAACCAGCTAAAACCAGCAACCATCTTAAGCTGGTCTATGCTGGTTTTTTCAGCAGGGCAGTACGATGTATTTAGTCATCACAGCTTATTTTGTCACATTAACGTTGTTGAAAGAGTCAGAACAATTCAACCCGACCATCTTTTATAATGTGAGCGATATGTACACTTTAAGCCATATAATATAAATATTATAGTAGGCATTTGCTTTAAAATAGTATACTGACTGAGCATCATTAAGACCCACCCACCGAGATCAGATATCCTAGTTTATCAGCCTGCGAGCCTACACTACATTGTCATAAGTGGTCATTTTACGTATTATGTATTCTAGTGCACACATTAAGTTCAAATATGCAAATCAGGCCATGTGTTTCGTTATGTAGTAGCTATCATCACCTGTCATGGAAATGTAACAATAACAAGGAATTCATATTAATATTACCAAGTTACACAGAAATAGATAAAACACATGAGAACAAAGACCACATAGATAAACGCATAAACGTTACGTTAGAAACGAAAACATGTTAACAACAGTGTGAAAAAGTATGAATATGTGTTTCTAGGTCTCAACGTAGCCTATGTGAGTACCCTCGTCATTCGGTGTCGATGCATAACGAAAGTTAACCAAGTAAACAGTCATAAGTGCGGCAAAGTGCAGAATACCGTTTTGATAAGGGATCAATGTGTGTAGTCTTTAATATTAAACATGATCGCTGGTTGATAGCCACAGAAGTCGTATCACAGTTTAATCTGAGCGGATCACAGTTTACCACAGCTCTCCACGCTGCGTTGGAGATGGGTGTAAACAACTCAGACAGACTGTATGTTTCACTAATGTATGAAAGTATAAACGAGTCTCAAATCAACTCGACATCATATTAATAACGATATATGATACAAATATAAGATTGACAACAAGAACAAGCCACAGAAATCGTATCACAAGTTATCCTGGGCGGATCACAGCTCCACAGCTGAAGACTTCTCCACGCTGCTTTCAAACTGTGAGTAAACAACGTGTGCTTCACTTGGAGGCTGTCTGAAGGTGTACACAGGTCTCAGATGGACTTGGTATCACATTAAGAATGATATTCAGTAATAAGTCTGGCAAAAATAAATGGTTTAAATGATTTATTCAAGCTTGCAATGTTTTGAACACACATCCCCAGTCACCTCATGTGTCTTTTTGTAGTCCTCGCTGTACGCGTCCGGATATCGGCATCGCAACCACAACTGGTACTGAATGTGCATCAAAGTGTTCCTATTGTTGATAAATCGTGATCTTCTCGCTCCCAGGAAAGAAACTTAAAATAACGAGACTAATGGAGTCTCTGAAAAGGTTCAAATGGGTAGTTTAATTAAGTAATGTGGTT